TACTCTAAAATCTGGATTAGGTAGAATCTGAGCTGGCGTACCATCAACATCATCTTCACACGAAGAAGAAGAAGAAGAGCACTGTGAATCTTCACTGCCAAACCCACGGCGACCACTTAGAGAGCAGGAGCTAATCGGAGAACTACAGATTGTCGAACTACAATTGAAGAAATCCATGGATATACCACCACGAAGTGCAGCACAGACACCATTCTTCACACCAGCAAACGTCGAGTCACCCTGATCCTGAGCGCCACCTGTACCTGATGCAGTGCCAGATGCGACAGTGCCATCACGTGTTCCGTCACGTCCTGATCCGGTACCAGTTTGCCCTTCGACGTCCAACATAGGATCCCCCGTGATGTCCCTGATATCCATATCGTACGTCCCAAAAATTCCTTTCTCCAATGCCTTCTGTTGCTGCGGAGCGAAAAGAAAGATCCAATGCGCTGTAGCGACTGCCTCTTTCGCACCAGCCTTCACACGTTCCTTCCATTCAGCGAATAAACGTAATCTGAACCAGAGTTAGAAGCAGGTGGCCTTGTAGACTGTAGGTAACTTGTAGACCAGTAATACAGTTATGTAGACCACTAAAACGAATATAGTTACCTAGTGCTAGTATAATAAGTAAATTGTTCATCCTCAAGGTCAAGTTCAAGTGCACCGTTCAAGTGCACCACTCTTCCTTGAGACAAATTTTTCGGACAAGCCTTTGCCATAACACAGATTGTGATCTGTTTCGCGATGAGAAGGCACAAACATGTTCGTCACAGGATGTCTCACGTAGTGTTCCCCATCCATGGCGGCATCGACGCGTTCCCACATGTCCAAAGCTGTAGCTTCGAATCGGTCACGACTACAGGGGGCATCGGCGTTCCTTTTAGAGATTGAGATGGTATTTCTGTCATCTACTTTTGCATGATTCCCAGATCAGTCCTCTCACGTGGAAAAATAGAGAAGGATGACGCGGCTAAGGCTAACTTAGTTCTTCTCCTCCAGTACTACCTTCGAAAACGAGATTCAACTCTCAGTCGGTTAGTTATCATAAGGTTGCTCATCTTCGTGCTTTCAAGTCTCCACCATAAACATCTGTGGTATTTCCAAGAGGTCCTTCGTGATTCCGCAGACATAGTTGCGAGGCGGTTCTTGGTCAGCCAGACGTAGTAAGGCAGACGCGGACGCAGTTGCATACATGGAAGAGGCTCCTGTAGTTCTTGTAGCCTCAAGAATGTACTGAGCGTGAATCGTGTAGGCAGATTCGAGAATATTCTTCTGCTTTTTGTTAGAAGTAGAGGTCGTGAGGACGAGCGGCGCAGCTTAAAAATTCAGTCATTTTTCCAGAGAGAGAAGTAGAAGTCGCTGCAGATAAGAGAGAATCTTCATCTGAGTAGAAACGAATTGGAGGAATGATCAAGCAGCAAAGTCGTAAGTACGAAGTTCCTCACCACCGCTCGTCCTCTAGGTGTCGTGCGAGGGTAGTGGTCTCCCATATACTTAGAGATCACTAAAACGTTTCATTTCTTCGGCAAGAACCGAGGAAAATGACTTTGACTGCTGGAAATCAGGTCAGGTTAGGTTAGGTCCTCACTGCTGGAAATCTCCAGGAATTGCAATTACTTTGGGGAGCCTTAACGACCGTTGGAGCAATGCCTCCGGTAGAACAAGGACTAGCACTTCCACTAGAAGAGCTCGATGATGCGGGAATCAGACCAGCTTCTTGCATTTCGGTAACAAAAAGCATTCTCATCGCCTCCTCTTCCACCTCAAGCGGGTCGTAAACCCTTTTTGCCTGTACAATGATATTAGAGCTCAAAACCATAACGATAGCCATGCATGCATCTCTTCTTGTTCTTGCCTGCATTTCTCGTCCCAAGCATACCAAGGAAACAAGGAGTGGCTTGTTTCTCCACGACAAGGACTTGATAATCATGAATTGATGAAATTGTATAATCTTCGAGCCTTAACAAGGGGTGTCGCTAGTAACAAGTCGTCCTCGTCTTCCATAGGCGCTATGTCGTTCTCCACACCGTGCTGAAGATACGAACGTTGTTGACTCGCCTCCTGGTCATCATGCTCGTGGTCCTCATTATCCAGAGAAAAAGCTTCATTATCTAAAGGTGAAGCTGGATCTTCTGGATGAGCAAGGAGGTCTGATATCCGATCTCGAAAACTTAAATTAGAGCTCACCTCCCTAATCCATCTATCTCCAAATGCATCCTAAGCGCATTCGCTCTCCCCTTGCAAACGTCTCTGAGATCATGCTTCCGAAGATTATGAATTAGGGTGAGCCATAATTAAACTGCTGCTATTGGGACCAGCACTATTGTGGTCGTTGTAAAAGTTATCTCCATGTTGATCGACTGCAGAAGAAGCTTGGGGAACAGATGGAACTGCTCGTCCAGCACGATCAATTACAGGCGAGGTGACATTGGGGGAGCGATCTAATTCGCCTCTTACAAATCTGCTCGTGCTAGAAGACGCTGTGTAGGTGGCCAGCACTGTAGAATCGCCTGGTGCACGACCACGCAACTCAGATCCAGAAGAAGATGCAGCGGAACTCTGCTGTAGTAAACCAGAAGAAGCAGCGGCATTACCAGAACCAGAAGAAGCAGCGGCATTACCAGAACTCCCTGGATCATTGAATGCCACCATCTCATCTCCGAGACCCAGACTTGTTGCTGCCAGCAAGGTGACAGGAGGTGGCGGTGGACTTGGCGTGCCCCATCTTTGAGTACTTGGATTATGCGTCTCGATCCATCGTTGAGCTGCACCTTGAGCGTCGTACTGTTGAGTGTCTGAGAGAGCATCCTCTTCTTAGAGCAACCGCAGCGTGAACATCATCTTCCCTAAATGCATCTAGTGCAGCTACCTTTTCTTAGCTACCTTTTGAATTGGTATACTAAGGAAAGAGCTACCTAAATGGATGATCCTCATCTAGTGCAACAGTTAATCCTTGGCATCAAGTAGAAAAACGGCTAAGGATGATGCTGACGAGGATGCTTCAAAGGTTGCGGTTGCCTTAATCTTCTGCTCTCTCAGCAGGTAGTGCGTGATGAGGTTCTGCTTGATGTTCCCCTCCAAGATTCTCAATAGGTGGATTTTCTGGCACCAGTCCTAGTTGAGGACTCGGTGGAGCCGAATTTCGTATAGGCTGAGGAGCGGAAGGCGCCGCGACTGAATTTCTTAGACTTTTACAGATGAAATCGTTTTAACAGGAATCAACGACCTTCCTCAAATTGAAGATCTAAAGAAAAATTAAATAGATGAATTGACTTCTGCTGTTCTCGTACACGACTCCGTACTACTACTAACTATGGTGTAGTTCTTGTGATTAGTCGATTGAATAGAAGGAATTGTAATGAAAGTCAGATGAATAAGCCATGAAGTAGACAAGGAACAGGAGGACATCAAGAACCTACCTGAAGAGGACATCATTCTCTTCATAACTCTCCCAATCCTGCCTGTCCACCTTGATCAAGTTGAGGTGGCGCACCTGCAGAAAGACCAAGAATCGGAGGACCCGATTCAAATACTGTCTGCCAAACGGGGTCTCTGTCTGTGTCCTCTGTTATAGGATCTGTGTCTGGTCTTCCTTCATTTGCAGCCGCTTGAGCTTGAGGTTGAGATCCACCTTCAGCTCCATGGTCATGTGATGAAGAAGCAGTGCCTCCTCCACCACTTAGCGGGTCAGGAACACCACTGCGTTTTAGACGCCACGCGGAAGACCCGAGAAGGAGCAGGAAATGGACCGGCGACTTCGGCGACCGAGGTGCACGTCTCCTCATGGTGCAGCTCGAGCTCGTCGTCGTTAGCGGCACCCAATGTTTTTCCCTTTTTTTCAGCATCTTGATCGTGAATATGTTGTTTTGTTTACTTACGTTACGAAGATTCTTGTTGTTGTCGATTGAAGATGCATTTTGCCAAGACTACACTTACTGAAGATATTTTTCATAAAAACTTAGCGAATTGTTGATGTTGTAATGCATATTGTTCTCAAAAACCATCTAAAGTTCTTGTAATATTTGTCTACTAAGTGTAGTCCTTTCTGATGATCTTCACTTCGAAAAAGAAAGTGCTTGATCAAAGATCAGGCGTCGAGTAGAGTACTTAGCATTACTGCCTTATAGTCTTCTTGTTCCTTTATTTGCGTATGTAGTTCTTGTTCTAGTACTGATGAAAAAAGTACGTAGGTGGATGTCAAAGTAGGACTACTGAGTCCTCTGAGCGAATCAAAATATATAATATGGACATTAGTTTCATCATGTAGTTGACCCAACAAGGCTTCTCGAAGATAGAAATTGATACCATTAGAGGTATAGGAAATCCATCTCAGAAATCATCTGGCTCGGTTTTTCTTCTTGTTTTCTCCTTCCAGACGACTTTGGAAATGGATTTCCCACACCCTTAAAAATATTACCCTCGTACCAAAACGATCAAAAAAAATCCAAGTCTTGTTGTGAAGATAATAGCAAGCTAGTAAAATAAATGACCAAGCAGAAATTATTCTAATCCGAAAACGTGTGATTCTATCAATGATCTTATCTAATACGTTCAACTAGTACGCTCTGCTGAGCCAGCAAGGTACTGCTGAGCCAGCAAGGTACAAGTGCTGGAACTGGTAGTATAATGGAAAGATAACATCGCTGCGACAGACCACAGGACATCACAATTCCATGATGTGCCCACTTTGCGCGTGGCACGACAGACAACCAGTAACAGGGGACCGAAAAGAGGACAAGACAGCAACGTCGTGACGAGTGTTTTCAACATGATCGCCTCAGTGATGAGTGTTTTCAACATGATGAGTGTTTTCAACAGAGGCAAAACTCCTGTTGATCAACGTGATCTTCTATCATCTAGTATGATCTACGCTGCACGAGACCGCGTGATCAACAACATTATAGCAAAAATAAGTGCTTTCAGGAGGTCGTGATCACGACTGACAGACCCGAACACAATCGCAGCAAGCCATCAAGCACTACAGGCACAACCCACAACGTGATCATCTTATTTTTTCATTGCAATTGAATGACATCAACAAAACTCAGGATAAATATTAGGCTCAACTTCCAAACAGAAAACCCATTGTTCTACCTAAAGGCTGTTGCGGCAATGGCTCGAGATTTTCAATCTGGGTTTTTGAGTGTGGTTTTCTATCCTTAGAAAACGAGGAAATGTTCTTGGCAGTGCATGCGGCCGACTTAGCAGCATTCTCATTGGCAGAGCGGCAAGGAACGTCAACACTTTCAGCGCCGTCTTCAACAGAGGAAAACGAAATGGCGCCTGCTTTTGCTTTAGCGACGTTCTGCTGGTCGACAAAATGTTGGTCGAGCTGTTGACTCCTCTTCGTTCGACTACGTCCTGAACTAGCAGAACTTGAACTATGTCTCTGCATCCAAAAATGATCCTCATTTTCCGTTTCATCTTCGTTCCCTCGTTTCGCCTTGCTACTGCTCTCGCCTCCATGATAAGCTTCCTCTAGTCTATCTTCTCTCCTTGGCGCAGCAGATCCAGATGACCTTGCTCTAGTACTAGCACTACCACCTTCTTCCCGTTCTGCTTTCAAAATGCTTTGCAGTGTTGGCAACTGCTTGGCTCGCACAGCTTTCTCCTTCTCTCTTAGCTGTACTCTCCGTGCAGCCCGTTCTGCGCGGCTCTGTTTCAAGGAGTGCTGGACTCGGTTTAGCAAAGTCGCGTCTAGATCTAGCAACGTGTTGCTTCGAGAATCGAAGAGCTATTAGATGAAGCAAGTAGAATGGTAATCTATTATATTATGCAGTACAAGTACTACAACTTTAGTGGATTTATTACATGTGTTTTTGTTTTAGTTTTCAAGGAGTCTTAGTAGATATGAATATGAATATGTTCTTGTAAAGATTAGATAGCTACGTACTTATCTCAGCTAAGTAGTAGAATCTGATAGCGGCCTTAAGAGTATCTATTTTCTGAGGAAAATGTGGCCTCTAACCGTTCCTCGGCATTCGCATCGCCTACATACTTCACATCGGGTCCGCTGCAACTGCTGTTGTGAAAGAATGACGAAGAGTTGTTGTTTCTTCTGGTGGTTGTATTCTTTCGCTGCTCTTGACTCCATGGTCGGTCTTGATTATGATCTTCGTCGTGCTCGTCACCAGGCAGCTCCGACCGGAAAAAACTTGCGACTCTGTAACGCGCTTTGCCGCGATGTCGGCGACGCATTTCCTCGCTATCATCGGCTTCATCTTGCGCTTGCTTCTTCGATCTCTTCAGGGCTTCGTCGCGAAAAAGCAAGCGGACTGGGTTGACGCCCTGTTGTCTCCCCTTCTTCCTCGCAGAGGTGTTCGTCTCCCACGTCAGGCCAGAAGGAAGACCCGAGGACGTGGATGTTGAAAACTGTCTGCTGTAATTGCTTCTGGTGAAGATGAGAATGTTGTTCCTCGAGATTCGTGTTGTTTTTACTTGCTGGGGAAGAGGAAGTGAAAAGACCAGGGGAAAGGTTTTGTTGATTGGTGCAGCTATCAACATGGTAGACGTCGCGATTCATCTTCGCTTGATTGTAGAAAGGGAATCTTTATAATATGCGGACATCTACTGCATCAATTGCATGGTGCTCCTTTTTGTCAACATTTCAATATTCACGGCTTAGAAGTTCTTGTATCAAAAAGTAGTGCCACCACATCCATGATATTCTTCTATGCACCAGCAATACGAACAGTCGAAGGTAAGCTCCATGATCTCCTCATCCTGCGCTCCTTAGAACACATTGCAAACGGTATTCTTGCAAATGATGATGTTGTACCACAAAAAGTTATATTGGACCAAGTCCTAGTCGACTCCGTCGCTTTTGCCCATCAGTTGTTGATACTTCATCAATACAGGATGGAGCGTGGAGGTTACAACACGACTTATTATCACGATAAGGGTAAGCGTTCCAACATAAAACTCTGAAACTTTGACAGCATCAAATGTTTAGCAATCGATTTGCGCGGGCGGTGGTCATGAAAAAGGGTGACCATCTCTTTGCCCATCCTAAGTGCATTCGAACTTTCTTGGAAACGTTCATGAGGGTGGAGGAAACTTGTGGTCATTCTGTCAACACATGATCATCTGTCAAGCTAGACTCTATCCAGTCTCAGGCATGATCGTACCACGGCAGGCATCACGGCTTTTGGAATGGCCTTGTTATGCAGAATGGAAAAGCCCAACTCACACATCTCCAATGTGTTTACTGAGACCAAAGCGCCAGTCTTAGGTGACCGCCACTGATTGCTGTACGTAGTTCCAACCAGTTTCTTGGCAGCTGCAAGCGCCTCCTCCGGAGTGGTGGCTATAGTTGAACAAGCAGTTGATGCACTTGTTGCGCCAGTTGTACTAGAAGAAGATGAGGAAGCAGTGGGTCCATTATAGTTTCCTAGGACTTTGTAGCCATCTACTGATCCTCTTGGAGGTGCGCCAGCTTGTCCTGCTGCCCCTTTAGAGGAAGATGATGATCCTGGTTGTGATGTCGCACTAGTTGCTGATCCGTTTCCTTTCGCTGTGTTCGGAGTTTTCGTTGGTGAGGGACCTTTGGCGCTGCCATTTGCTGCAGCAGCTAGTGTTCCACCCAGCACATCTACCCCACCCAGTCCCGTAGGATCGTACCCCACGAAGAAGTCGAATCTTATGGCTGGGATGATATCCTCTAAGCTCTCGATGCGAAGCCAGTCTAGGAGCTCTCTTCCCGTGGTCTTCGCCAGTTCGATGCCAGCTTCTAGAGCTTCCTTGTCATCCCCCATCAAGTCCAGGACGTCTTTCCTCTGTAGGTAGTTGAACTCGCCAAACTCGTGATTCGGCTTCACTTTGTCAAACCTCGTGAACATCTCGAACTTGCACTCGTTTTCTATGAAGTAGAGTCGGAGTTCAAAGACGTGAGGGATGAACTCTTGAACCAAAACATGGTCTAGGACGTGGGCTTGCCCAACGAGGTTGTCCGTGATGTCGATGTGCTGCGTCAGTTCGTATAAACTGCTGTGGAGCTGCCGTTAGAGGGAACAACTCTTCAAGAAATACTATCACCAAAAATACTATCAGAGCAGTTATGACCCTCGCAGATGCAGGAGAAGCAAACTTATTCTTATTAGTGTAATCTTTCTAAGCCTGCTGACACTCAATCGACTCTGCGCAACTACACTATTGCAAGAACTACTATCCAGAAAATCAGACAAGATGATCATGATCTTCAACGAGAACCAACAACTACAACGACCAAAACCATAATTATAAGCCGAGCTCCCTGCATTTGGAGGTTGGTCTTCCTTCCACATTTTCACGTCTAAGGCCTCCCAGGAATACCCTAGTTTCGAAACTCCATGCACAATTTTTTTAGCTGGACACATGCCCATCTGATTCTGCTTGTCTCGCACGAGGGTTAGAGGATCGAACAGGCTAGGGTCGTAGGTGTAGTGGAAGGATGGTGATGAGGGAAATCGAAATGATGGAAATTTTTGTTGTACAACGAACTACTCAGGAGCTGTTGCCCCTTGCAAATTTATTGATTCCCTTTTTACATGTACTTGCTTGATGTGCATACGTAATACGTTCCTCAAGGAATGAAATAATATGACGATGAAGACCTGAGAAGTACTAAACTTCATTCATTACCTAAAAATGTAAATGTAATTCATCTCGTCTCATAACATCTGCAACATCTTCAATGCTTTTTGTGCAGTTTTTTTCGTATTCCCGTTTTCCATGATGTCTCTTTCAATCCACATTCTTGGCACCGCTATGGTTGCTGGGATCCTCAGCCTCGGATTCAAACAGAGACTGTGCGTCCATTCCTTGTTGGTGAGTTGCTGGTACAAGTGGGCGGAGTGGGGGAATCGACCTTAGAAGTTGGGAGAGGGGGGAGAGATGGAACTCACAAGTGGGCGGAGTGGGGGAATCGACCTTAGAAGTTGGGAGAGGGGGTTGGTGAGTTGCTGGTACAAGTGGGCGGAGTGGGGCAATCGACCTTAGAAGTTGGGAGAGGGGGTTGGTGAGTTGCTGGTACAAGTGGGCGGAGTGGGGGAATGGACCTTAGAATTTGGGAGAGGGGGGAGAGATGGGCTCTGGGTAGAAGCAACCGGACGTCGAAGACTCCAAGAAGATTCTCCAAAAAGAACGGGAATGCTGAAGATGCTTCTAGTCCGTGTACTACCGCAACTACGTCGACTTGGTCATTGACATCTTCATCTGAACGATTTTACAAAGGCGCCGAAGGCCACTTTCTTGTTAAAAAAGAGATGAATCATCAAGTAGTCCACCAAGTAGTCATAACTCGTAACGATCCCACATCGTTCAGCTGACCTCATCATGCGATACAGGCATTCGTATTCTAATGAGCCGGCTCCGTTATCGTCGCCTGTCATCAAAGCTGGTTGTGACATCGTGTCGAATCCTGTGGGCTGGGGGGCTTAGAGCAGGTAGGGAGTAAATGCACTAGTAAGTTGTAGTGGGGAGGGTAGAGGTATAGGGTACTTGTACAAGTTGTATTTAGCTGTAGTACTTGTACTTAGTATTTAGGTATAGGGTACCTGTTAGAGGTATAGGGTACTTGTATTTAGCTGTAGTACTTGTACAAGTTGAGTATCGTTATATGCAGAAATCACACTTGAAGATGGTGAAGATTACGAATAAAACCTCTTCCTTGGATCGTTGTGAGAGTATACGAATAGAACCTCTTCCTGCCTTAAAGAAAGTACATCCCCACGACATTTTTGGCGCGTTTCGCAGGATGCGTGTCTGGAAACAACAAGTGCATAGAATCCGCGAGCCTCTCGCAGTCGGCTTTATCCTCTACGAAGACAGACCAGATTTCATAGTTCGTTTTCAATTCCGGTCTGAGGCCGTCATCGATTAGACCTGGAGATTTTTGACGCCATCTATAATCGATGAGTACATTTGTGATCATCGATCTACAAGTTCAAGTGGTTGAAGACGTACAAATGAATCCACACAGCATCATTCAGTCTTCTAAAAAAATAAGTATAAATTCTACAACAGTAGAAGTACGATAAAGGTATCGATTTGTAATCCCGAGAAGTTCGCCAGGACTGCTGTCCGGGATGTCAGCGCCACCCCAGCGAAAAGCGATGATACACAATTCTGGTTGATATCCCGAAGTGTGGTCTCGTACCAGGAAGGGCCCTGTGAGTTGGTGTGGTGGAGAATGTTGTGGGATGTGGGAAGTGTGCTTGGTCTTGTGGGATGTGGTTGGTGATGGGAAGTGTGTGGGAAGTGGGTGGTGTGTTGGAAGTAGGAAGTGTGTGGGATGTGGGAAGTGTGTGGGAAGTGTGTTGGAAATGGGAAGGGTGTTGGAATTCGAAAATTTCATGTACTAGCTTGTTAAATACTCTATTTAAATACTATTAAAAATCCCCGAACACTCTTCGCCTTTAATGTGAACACTAAAGGACCCCTAAGACGCCTTTAATGTGAACACTAAAGAACTCCCCCCCCTTTAGTGTGAACACTAAAGGACCCTTAAGGCGCCTTTAATGTAAACACTAAAGGACCCCTAAGGCGCCCTTAATGGAAACACTAAAGGACCCCTAAGACGCCTTTAAAGTAAACACCGAAGGCCTTCCATGTGGGCAGCAGATGGCCTTGAGGAAGAGCAAGAACACCAACAACAGCAAGAACAACAGCAAGAACAACAGCAAGAACAACAGCAAGAACAACAGCAAGAACAACAGCAAGAACAACAGAGACAGCAAGGACAACAACAACAGCAGCAACAACAACAACAAGAGCAACAACAAGAGCAACGACAGCAACAAAACAACAGCAGCAACAACAACAAAGCAGCAGCAGCAAAGCAACAGCGACAAAACAGCAGCAACAAAACAGCAGCAGCAAAAGCAAAACACCAGCAACAAACAGCAGCAAACAGCAACAAACAACAACAACAGCAACGACAGCCACAACAGCGACATTTTATTTACTACGAAAAAACCCGAGCACTAATGTGAACACCAGAGGGCCCCTAAGATGCCACTAATGGGAATGCTAAAGGACTCCCTTCCCCTTTAATGTGAACACCAGAGGACCCCTAAGGCGCCTGCAATGTAAACACTAGAGGGCCCCTCGCCTTTAATGTAAACACTAAGAGACCCCCTAAGACGCCCTTCAGGTAAACACTGAAGGCCTTGCATGCTGCCACATTTTCAAGGGGAATCGGTGGCAGTGCTGCCACCTTCCTCTTGTATTTAAAGCCTGCGCGCTCCCGCTCCCCTTTGCCGCAGCGCGGAGGGGAGTGCGCGCCCTTCGGGCGCCCGTTTCACCTTGTGAAACCATTCACCCCTGCCCACGTCCCTAAAGTATCCCTTTCCCTTCCTTAACGTCTCCCGGGGCACCCGGGCCCGGGGAGTTTCATATAGATACTATTAGTGAAAGCGAAGATCAAGATGCTAAGTGATGATCATAGTCAAGAGCTGCTGTTTGCTTTTGCTAATCTACTAAGTATAACATCAAGTAGTTTTAGTTATATACTTTTCCCGTAAAAATAATTCTCAGTCTGTAATCTGGAACAAGTCTAGTAAAAATAACAATATGCACTACTTGAGGTAACGCTGAAAACTGCCACTCAAAACATAGAACTAAAAGTCTAGTAAAACTAAGAATACTTCGACTGCTCTGCACACCTCCGCCTCTTCCTCCCACTCGCGCATCAGGTTGAAACGGTGCTTGCTCCTGTCTTGGTAAGACCAAATGCGGCTTCGTGTAGTAGAAGAGGTCCTGCTTCTCCATAATTGCACCCCTAGGATTGAACCAAAGAGGCCAGGAAAACTCAAATTGCACATGACTTCCCGTCTCTTTCTCGCTATACCGCTCTGGCTTGAACGGCGAGGGGGATTAGAAGAGAGGATGGAGAGACAAGTAGTAGGTTTAAGTTAGGTCGTTTAATAGGCTAGGTTAACAGTAGGGTAGGCTAGCGCTAGGTTAGGAACGAGTCCTCATGATCTTCATTTCACCGAAACATCGGAGAGAAAAATAATATCAAATCTTCATACAGATGGAGATACATCAACATCTTCAGATGAATCGCCAAGAAAAGTTGTAGCTAGGACATCAACTAGAGCTACAGCAATTAGAAGATACAGATGCTCCAGTAGATTCTCAAACATCTTCGTGTGTTATAGATTCTCCATAAGTAACAATCCCTGGAACCCACCCTTCGCTGAGGCCTAGACGCGGACGGAAGTTCCCCTGCCTGTGATCCATCACCTGCATATAACAAACATGCTCTTTCTTCTTGTTCTCAGCCATCCGCGTTTCTGTGGTGTAGACCTGTAGTGTGGAGTTGTCATGATTGTCTTTTGAAATATGTCTTTTTCGTCTAGAACCACTCCCTCTACCTGTAGTTGTCAGATGTTACAGGTAAAGGAAGTGGTTCTAGACGAGGTATCGGATCTTCTTGCTCTTCAACTAGTATCACTTTGTATAATTTTCTGAACCTGAGGTGGTCCACGTAGTACGGTCCACCTCAATGATTGTTCCCACTGCTGGCTCTTTTTACCACTTCATCTTCAACATAAACATTCATCTTCAACATTCTTACCACATCATCTTCAACATAATTCTTCATCCGAAAAATAAAGTACCCACATAAACAATTTAACACTTCATCTTCAATTAAGTACCCATATCGCATCACCAGCGGCGTATGCACGCTGGGACGAGGTACTCGGTGTAGCTGCCATGGTGTATGCTCGTTTTGAATCTTCGGAGGAGAGGAGCTCTTCAGCGTCTAAGACGTCGTCTTCGTAGTCCTCTCGGTTTCGTTTGTTACTAGACAACATACACTTGTTACACAGGAGAGATGGATCATGTATCAGTTACTAGACAAGAACATGCACTTGTTACACAGGAGAGATGGATCATGTATCAGTTACTAGACAACATACACTTGTTACACAGGAGAGATGGATCATGTATCAGTTACTAGACAAGAACATACACTTGTTACACAGGAGAGATGGATCATGGATGATAGGGATGAAGAAAGGGATTTTCTCTCTCTAATAAAATTTGCTCTTGTTGTTCACTAAGTAAAGTTGTCTGTGTCTCGCAAAATGTAATCAATTATAATCCGCGAAGACCTGCAGGGTTCTCTAGAAGGCGAAAAGAATTACAGGGAGGCCGAGAGCGTTATAATGGATAGACTTTTACCTAGTACGTCTCTACCGCTAGTACGAAATTAGGTAGAGAAATTGGGTATGCCGAAGAGAGAACTCAGGTACAACAGGACCTCCGCATGTGACCTTGATCATGACAGTAGAACGACCCACGATGACCAGATCAATATATAAGATGACAAGGATCGTCATCCTGCTTCCGCTTTTCGATGATCACAGGAGTACCACTGGGATCATCAAAACGTCAGTTTCATTGTCTCTTTTCTCATCAATCATCTTCGTGGCGAGCACGCTGAGGAGTGAGGACCATGTGTTCACCACAGATCCAGAGTCCTTGATACTACAGCAACTTCAACATTCTTATGCCAGAACAAGAACCGAGTGAGGGCAGCAGAAGCAATACATGAAGATGAACATCATGAAGATTCATTTTGGTTTCCGCATCTGGTAGAAGACGAGACCTTTTCTTGTTCTGCCAGAAGATGAGACCACGTCGACATCAGAGAACAAGTAGCACTGGCGGCCTTGTTTATCCGATAAAGCAATTTACAATTTGCATTTGGCGTCGTAGTTGTAGAAGTAGCAATTACAGAAATGAGTGCATCATCAAGTTCAAGAGCAGCAAGGAACGTGATCATTCTCATCATCGGGATTCTCGGTTTCGGTGGAGCAGGAAGCAAGTCTTCAGCTAAGCCTAAGACATACACATAGACATGTGGAAAATTTTTTAACTAGTACACGCAATCGCATCAAGAACAAGATGAAGATGAAGTATGTGGAGGCACGATAACTTTTGATGTTGCGCTCGGTACCTCCAATATCATTGTACTTGTGGTATGGAGATCATGTGGCCACAAAACGAAAAAGAACATCATCGTACTAGTAGACCTACTCAGTAGTAGTTCTTCTATTCTATTGTATGCATCTGCTTCTGAAACTTACAATTTGTACTTACATCAACTGGAACTTTATGATTTTTGATATGGACAAGGACTAGGACATCACCAGAGTTGTGACTCTTCTGATATTGATGCGGAAAAGAATATTTTTAAATATGGCGAGGACACTCGTCTTCATCAACAACCATGTCGGATGAAAAGACAAAAGCCTACTACAGCTTCGACAAAGGAAATTTCGGTGACAAAATCCAATCCACATAGTTCTGGAAAACGTTCTTTTTTCCCATGTCGTTATGAGGTTCGTGACGGGCAAACGCATGAATCAGTATCCGCAAGTCTTCGCAATTCTTGAACTCGCCCATCAGCAATGTATGAAGAAGAGAGGTTTGGTTGTGGAAGAAGAAGGATGAGGTTGAGGATGTCGTCAGGCAAAACTTTCTAAGTAGGAGATCGAGATGTTGTGTATTGTTCTGGGATTCATCGGTAGCCTGATTTCGATCATAAGGGAAAATAAGAAGAGAATCCTTGTGATCCAATTCAGGTTACCAAATACCGAAGCCATTCATGTTGAATAGGCAAGAAATCTTCATAATGATACAAGGCTTTCCATTTCGGTCCGAAGGGAGCCATTGGTTCCTTCGCCAAAGGGTCCTCACTGCCGAGACAGACGAGCACTGGTTTCTTGTCCATGGAAGAGAAGTCGTCTTTTGATACGGACATCAAATTTCGGAAGTAGCCTGCCCAATAATGGATGCTCATGTTGTGACCGCAATTCTCGTCGGAATATTCTTGCACCTCTGCAATGTCACGGGATAACCTGAAGAATGAGAGGAGAGACGAAGAATCCTTGATGATCCTTGGAAAAATGATGATGTGATGATGATGATCTTGGAAAAATGATGATGATGATGATGATGATGATCTTGGAAAAATGATGAGGATGATCATGATGATGATGATCTGCCGTCGTCAAGCTAATATTATGTCAGTTCTGTTTCAGTAATATCTTCAGGAAGTACCAGTCAAAATCCGTTTTATTCGGTTTGAAGTGGCCTTGAAATTCGTTGAAAACGGCTGTCCTTTCTATGGTATTGTGCCATTTGGTGATTGAATGCCTGCCAAGCAAAGCGCCAAACACTCCCACTAGACTCAAGAAAACACAACTCACCACAAAACCGGGACGAAATACCTGGATATCATGTTAGGGAGATTATGCTATCGTTTGGTACTACTAGCATTGGTACCTGTCGCTGTCCTACTCGAAGGAAGTTCAGGAACACCATCTTGCTCATCTTCTTTATCATGCACGCTAGTACTGCTACAGGTCCACTTGATCTCAATATAAGTCGTCCATAAACTATCCGTGCCCTCTCTGTATACCGGTCCACTCAATATGAGTCCGTCTATTCGCTTTCCGAGTGCGCCGTTGTCCATCTGTACTGCTTTCTGAGATATCAAGGTGCCTACTGAGTGGCCCGTTATTAGAGGAAAAGGTAGGAAGATTAATTTTTCCTTCCTTACTACGGCTACGGGATGATGTCTTCTTGGGAGACCATCTTGGTGTCTTGCTTTCTTCTTCTAGTTCCAGAATCTGAAGATGTTGATATCTTCGTTTTCATCATGCCGTTAGCTCTATCTTCAGAAACACTTACACCAATTCATTCCCATTAATCCTATTAGACACATCCACATGAACTAGAGCTTTCTCTTGATGATGATGATGTTGATGTTGGACGATTCGAATTAGATATACTAGAACTAGAACTGTCTCTTAACATGAGATAAAATGGGACCCGACCTGCATTTTGGTCCAGCATCTCGAAACATAACGCCTGCAAATCCTTGGGTATCTGAATCCACTCATAGGCTGTATCTCCAAGTGGGCATCCCTCACGCTCAGCCGTCTTCCCGTGTCCAAGATGGTCGTGGGCATAGACTGATATCCCATGTTCGTTCAAAAACTTTGCCAGGATACGATACCTTGAAGGGAGTTAGTTTTTTATCCGATGAGGTAGCCCTACTTGTTCTAAACAAGGTTCTAAACAAGCGTCTATCCCTCTCTCTAGGTATCTTCGTTATTAACGAAGATACCTAGGTAGAAGGAGGACAAGTATCTTCTTCGATTTGCTGGGCGGCCCGGTACGGGTACTAGTATTTGAAAAATATTTATTTCAATATAATCCTTCGTGCTAGTACCTTGTGTGCATAATGTCGTGTTCATCTGATTTCGCTCATTGATCATTTCTACAACTAGGCTATCTAGGGACCACTCGGATCCGTACTACTGAAACTGTACCTAGCCGCATGCTCCGTATTTCCATGGGCCACGTATAGGATCGCTTTCGGACTCGCTACCGGCCATGAATATTGGAAAACTTCATGCCCGTTAACTTTTACATAGCGACTGGGATTAGAGCATATGCTTAGGGTGTCAAAGTTTTTTGATGAAGAATCAGGAGAGACAAGCCACTTTCAGCGGACGAGCCACTTCTAGTAGGAAAGCCGCAGTAACTAGAAGGTGTTGATAATCGTGGTCACTTCTAGTAGACAATTGTGGTCACTTCTGGTAGACAATGACAATCGTTCATAGAAAGTCCACTTCTAGTACGTATTAAGCCACGACTTCTAGTACGTATTTTTAAGCCACGACGACTTCTAGTACGTATTAAGCCACGACGACTTCTAGTACGTATTAAGCCGAGACTTCTAGTACGTGTTAAGCCACGACTTCTAGTACGTGTTAAGCCACGACTTCTAGTACGTGTTAAGCCACGACTTCTAGTACGTATTAAGCCACGACTTCTAGTACGTGTTAAGCCACGACTTCTAGTACGTGTTAAGCCACGACTTCTAGTACGTGTTAAGCCACGACTTCTAGTACGTGTTAAGCCACGACTTCTAGTACGTGCTAAGCCACGACTTCTAGTACGTGTTAAGCCACGACTTCTAGTACGTGCTAAGCCACTTCTAGTAGACATCAATCGTCCAGAACTACTTCTACAACTTCTAGGCAATCTTCCATGGTCTTAACTTCAGTCTCAAAACCAAATCGTGCTCCGAATTTCGAACCTGACGAGGTACCCAGAGGACCATCTGTTGACATCTTCTGGGAAGTTCCGCTGGGAAGCAGAGACGCGTACTTTGCTTCAGATGGACTGGAAGTAGTCATGTTTTACGATGGTGTAAGTACTTATTCGGTGGGTGTGGAATGAGTAGAGACCTGAGTAGAGGAGTGTTGAGAGGACAAAAAGGTGTGGCTAGGAGGTGTTTTGCGCGAAGACTAGCATTTTCTTTTTTAGGAATTCCTATAAAAAATTAAAAGCATGTAGTACTGGTATTGCGTGTGCGTGGTGCCGAATTTACGATCATGCAAAACCATTTCGTCGAGACTTGTGTTACGTTCTTCTTTCTCCTCTCATCCTTTTCTTCAGCGTCTTCTTCAGTCAGCACCACCACTTTCAACCATCATCATCTTTCAAAAACAAAACCGATAAGACCACACAGAAGACCAAGAGCGTTCTACTTGTAAGAAAAGACATGCGCCCTGCTTCCGAAGTGCGAGATCATCAACATCCTTATACTGCTAAACTCGCTGCTCCACTACTTCGCCAAGGTATGCAAGTGTAAGGACGATAATATTCCCACTAGTTTTGATCATGCGCATGCAGGTTCTCGGTCCACTTGGGACAAAAAAGTAGAAGCGTGAAGTCTGGGGGTGTTGTTACGTCTTGGTTACTCTAACGCCAGAGAGCTGTAATACCAACGGGTTCTGGCGATGTAGCATCTTTTTATAATTTGCCACATCTAGGCATACCGTGAGCTTCTTTAAGCACCTATTTAGATAACCTTATTTATTTGATTCCCAACCACATCCAACGAAGAGAAGCAACCACAAGAAGCTTCACCTTCCACCGATCCACCACCTAACAACGTCAACTATGATCCTATCACATATTTCCGAAAGTGGTCAATATTCGAGGTAGCAAAACAAAGAAAAACTGAGCGAAAGTGATGTTTGACACAAGGCGTAGTAAAACTTTAAATAATTCCATTCGATGCATGTTCTTCTTGAAAATAAACTACTACAACAGGGAAATAATTGCTCACGAGAAACTTAAATACACAAGTAGCACAACTCCATTCGTAACGATCAAAATAAAAATTCTTTGTTAGATTTTAGAAAGCAGACCAATATGTGCACGATCACCAGCCAGGAGCAGTTCCTTCTTCATAGTAGGATCAATTTATTTTATTCTCTTCCTTCTCTTCCTTTTTCTTTTTCTTTTAAGCCACTTCTTTCATCTTTATCACCTCCAGCCTTTTTCCTTCACTTCTAAACATCTCATCAACATCCTCCATCGCATCATTTTCTTTTTGCTTTTTGCAGCACCAGAGGAATACACGAAATCCGAAAAGAAAACTCGAAAAGAAAACTCGCAAGAGAAATTCGGCTTATGTCGTCCAAGAACGAATCTGGTGCACTCGTATGTCGTCCAAGAAAAAGACGTAGGCGAGTATGTAGGTGAAGACGTAGTTAGAGAAGTGGCACTGGTCTAAGCACTCTCCTACTCGGCGTTGACGATATCGGGATGGTTCTCCTTTTGCATCTTCTTGAGGAAAAGAATCGACATCACTGCAATGGTTCCGTTGGCATCACCATTTTGTCGGAAGCCAATAGCCGCCGAGATAGTATTAGCAACGTCTCCACGGTTCCAGTACTTGAAAACGGATTTGGCTGCCTTGCCAATAAGGTTCTTGAGCATCTGGATGTTTCTCTGAATCGGCCCGCTGATAGGGTTGAGTTGAAGGAGCTCCGCCAGAACAGTCTGTGGCAACTTCTTTGCGATATTTTTCAGATCCAGATCCTTCATCACCTCCTTGCAACCATTAGCTTCAGCCTGGGTCACCAGTAGTTCGCCACCTTCTACGACGTATTTTGGTGGATCGCTGATCTCCTCAAGGGCCTTGGTGATTTCCGTCTTCACCCAACTTTCAACATCTGACAACGTCACAGGAGCGCCGTGTTGTTGTCCAAAAGGGACGATCCGCCCTCCACCTGGTTGCTGCTCCTGTGGTCGTTCGCGGCTGTCGTTTCTCTGTCGTTTCGCAGCAGGATTGTTAGAGGAAGAACCCTGTTGACCTTGTCCAGCAGGAGGTGCGTCATAGTTGATGACTCGGCCGCTATTCTGGACATCTGCTCCACGGAAAGATGAGCTGTTATCACCAGACGCTCCCCCACCTTCCGACTTCGAGCTGCGCGGTCCATTGCAATTGTTCATAATAGCACCACCGCCGTTGTAGTTGTTGTTGTTATTGTACTCAGTGGCTTGATTACAGCCAAGTAGTTCCCTCATGTATTGCTGGACTTGGGGATGATGGATGTTTTGCCCAGGGAAGTATCCTCCATTTGGGTGTTGGAAGTTGCAGCCCAACTTCGTGCAGAAACCGTAATCGTCCACATTGAAACAGACCATACGCGCCATTCTGCGGGGGCCGTTCATGTTATTGCCCATCTGCATGCTGTTCATGTTATTCCCCATGTTGCCGCCTCCCATGTTGTTCATGCCTCCATTGTGGTTCATGTTGTTCCCACCGTTGTTGTTGAAGGTCATAGCATTGCCCATGTTGTTCATGCCCATACCTCCACCGTTCATGTTATTGAAATTATTAAAATTATTTGGATTCATGTTGTTGTTGTTGTTGAAACCGCCAGCACCACTAGCCATATTTCCACCATGCATTTGGCCACTATTTTGGTAGTTGCTAAAACCGTTGCCGAAGTTGTTGCCGTTGTTCTGATTGAAGTTGTTATTCCCACCGTTGTAGTTAGCGTTGCCACCTCCTCCGGCATTGTTGTTCATCATCATGCCGTTTCCTCCGTAGCTGTTACCCCCCATGTTGAACATTCCGTTGCTTCCGCCACCGTTCATCTTGTAACTATATGGTTATCGACTATCGCTGAGGATGCACCAGTCGAGTTTCCTTGGTTAACCAATATCAGTCGCGTTAACAAAGCAAGTTTTTAAGAAGAAGAAGCGAGGATACCTAAGACAGAGAGAGAGCACGGCGCTACAAGTTTCCGGCTACTATAGTTATTCCCTGTAGTCGTGCTTTTATAGGCAAGGCGATGGACAAGTGGAAGAAGTAGTTGTCTATGTCGTCGGTGTAGGCAAACTGTGCTGGTAGTGAAGCCCAAAGTCCATCATTAGTACGTGTCGACGAAAAAGAAAAAGGTAAACAAAGATAATCAGACTGCTGCTTTTTGTATTGTCGTGCTCGGTGTGATCTTTCAGCACGTGTTGTTGCGGAAGAGAAGAAAATAAAGAAAAGGATGCAGAATAGATCGTCGATCTTTGCGTAGCGGTGTCTGGATATGCCGAGGCCGACCCCTCGCGATTTTTGACAAAGGAAGCGCCGGACTGTCAGCTTTTGATCTTGGTAAGGTTGCGCTTTTTCATTCTTGACATGATGGATAAAGTTCGGAGCTGTGCCTGTGTGTCGGAGCGTAATTCTTAATAGCAACGGATCAATAGCAGTAGTCTGAGGAGAAGTAGATACTATCCTTGATGTATTTTCGGCACGATGCAACTCCTATTTTTGACCATCGAGATTTTTCAGATCGAGACGCAGTCAAGTTGATTTAAAAGAGGAAATCCGGGGCAAGAAGTCTGTCACCAAAATTCGCACGCTCCCTGTAGTTTAGTTTCGACGCAACTTCCTGCCATGAGTCCCTAATAATTCTCTTCGTGTAGTTCATTGACAGCATGTCTAGTGCTGCCTGGTGCATCTTCTGGACCAAATTTATCTCACGTCCCTCTCTGTTGGAGAAGTCTAAAATTCGACAAAAATGCGCAATCGCCTTAGATTTCTGTTTAGCGTTAAAAGCTCCGCCATTTTGTAATCTGCTAACGTCGGCCTTGCGCTGGGAGAGTGCCACCTTGCCTGACAGCGTTGTCTGTACCTCCATACCAAAGTGCTCGCCCTCCTTTCCTGGTTCCAAAATGACACCCTGTGGGTAAAAGTCCTCAGCTACAGATCGCATCACAGCCTCCCTTTCTACCTGGTCTAGACACTGCTCGAAGCGCTTTCCAGTAACTAGAAAAACGTCATCCACGCCTCTAACTCGAGTCCAAGACTTACCCTCTTCAGCCCTTGCTCGTGGTGTCAGTCCCATCCTCCAGTGCTTTTCTGCATCCGCTGCCCATAAACAACAACCACTTGGGGAGATAGGATTGCCCATGGGTGGCACCTTAGACTTCCAAACCTTCTTTCCCATATGGAACAGGTTCCACCTGAAGGAGTGGCCCACAATAGGCAAAATCTCCATCAAAGTGAAGACCTCGTGCGTTCTCTTCAACCTCCCTCGGGGTGCAACGGTCTCGAGTCTTACTCCCTTCCGATTTTTAGACGGTCTAGCGGTTCCACGGACCCCCTTGTAGTTGTGTATCTCGTTGTAGTTCCTGTTAGTTGCTGCCGCGGTCCGTTCCTTCGGCACTAGAGCGTATCGGAAACCTTGTAGCCAGAGTTCATCTATTGCTTCCTCCAGTACTCGCCTAATATCTGTGCATGGGACACTGCCAAAGAAATTCTTAACATCTTTGTATGTCTTACTCAATTCAGAAGCGTCCTCGTTGTCGCAGTTGTGGTTGAAGTCGTCGATCCTCTGTATCATCGCGCGGACTGTTGTTGTTTCGTATCCGTGTAGGCGTTGATTGATGTGATCAATGATTCTTGCCACGCACCGATAGATCAGCAGATATCTATGTCCACTAAAGCTCGCGCATGGTCTAACGGCTAGATTGTGAACATCCAACTCTTCTCCAGCCTCAGCCTTATCAAAGTTCTTATTCTTAATCAGCAGAAAAGAGTTCGGGTGCTGGTGTCTGCTGGTGCTAACGCGGAGAAGATGTCCTCGGCCTGCTTCCCACCTGTTATCGAAAAAGGACACTCCTGGCCCACCGGCTACCACCAGCTGACCTTCATACCATTCGAAAGAGGGCACGCTCTCGAATCCATTCTCTGCTATGTACCTCTTCTCGCGCTCCTTGTATACATAGCGGCACACCGCACTGCACTCCTGCGTCTTCTTATCCACCTCCCCTACAACTAAGGCCTTTCTAAGCCACCACTCAACGTCCTCGTTCTTGCGGATCCTCCCTTTTGATGCCTCGCGATATCCTTCAGACTGTCTAAAGGCAGACTCTTGTAGCAGGTTCCTCGCTCTCATCGCCATCCTCTCTTCGTTGAAGACTCCATAAAACGCCGCACACCTCCTTACGAGTGCCGCGGTAGCACCCTCTATCTGCTTCTCCACTTCCTCCCTGGTGGGGTGGTATCTCGAGTTCTTGTTCCATCCGGGTGTCTCCTCGATCCTGCTAACCTTGGCGCAGACATGCCCCTGGATCTTCCACTCCTCTGGTGCCATCCAGCAGTAGCATCCGTTTCGCTCTGACATGTACTCGCGTCGGCAGACCTTCCGACAGTTGGAGTACTTCGACTTGAAGTTCTCGCTAGTCTGCTTACGCAACAAGATGCGCAAAACGTTCTCCGTCATTTGCATGTCGTAGACCTCCCCTCGGACTATGTCTCGGAGTCCACGCTCCTCAGCCTCGTTCAGATGTGGGTAGTGCACCTTTAGTTGTGTCCTCAGTTCATCCCTGACCGGTCCTGTCCTCCTTGCCTCCTCGAGTGCCTTCCCAAATTCCTTCAGGTCGCTTCTGTTTCCTTCTAGGAGCCTGGCACCCAGAAGCTTGACTCTCCTATATCTCCGCTCGTCATTGGCGATCTGTGCTATAGCATAGTCCGGCGGCTGTGGTCTGGTGAAACAATAGACCAGGTGTGCTCCTCTGGTCATGCCGCCAGCTAATATAGCATCGATTCGCGTTATCGGTTCCGGAATACCACCTCTGTCTATGATGCGTCCCCTTAGCTGCCGTCGGCTTCTCCTTCCGTCCCTTCTAAACATCATCGGCCCAGACATCGCATGCATCCTGCCCTTAGTGACGACCTGCTTGCATATGCCCCAAGCCTCGCCAAGTCCCTTGCGGTACTTCTTCTGCGAGTTCTTACTTGGCTGCAGCCACTCTATGCACTCAGACTCTAACAGGTCCAGCTGTGTGGGCGATGCCTGTGCTCCAATGGTAAAAACTCGAAGGAAGATAAAGGCTGACGGGCCGTATTCCTTCACGTCGGAGGTGATGCGCATGCCCCTTTCGCAGATGTTATTGCCAGCCTTCCTGTAGTGTCCCGTCACCCTTGTGTAGAAGCCCTGCTCCGTCTTTCCAACGTAGTCCTTGCGCGAGAACGGCTTGAAACAATAATAGACAGCGTTCTTATCCCTGTAGTTCGCAATGTTGTACCTCGCCCGCATCATACAGATCTTGGAGTGCACAGTCTCCAGGAAGCTGTTGTTTCGCGTGTGTAGCCATAGCATACCCACAACGCCGGATATCTCGAGGAAATTCTCCTTGCAAATCTCACGCAGTGCAGTCCGTGTCATCCTCTTTGCCTCCTGCATTTCCGGCGAGTTGTCAGCGTTGGCTTCCTCAGTTGCATCTCGGTGCCTAACATATGTTCCACATAGGCATAAAAGTGGATTCCTGCACTTGCATTCTCGTACCTTAAAAGTATGCTCACAACACGTTTCGCCACAGAGTGTGCATCCCTTATAATCGACCTCCAATATGCGTCCAATTTTTTCGCGTGTCGCCAATGCCCTTCGTAGCAACTGCGTCAGTCCCCTCTTGTCATTGAGCCTAGTCAGTGGCTCGAGTCTCTTAGTTGAGTCCTGTAACTTGAGCAGAAGGAAATAGATGCCCAAGTAGTTTCGCCTGCTGATCTGCCAAGATGATTGCCATACATAGGCGTGCGGTTCCTGGACTGACAATGGAGCACACTGTAACGCATGTAGATCTTGGAGACATCCACCCGCACAATAGCACCTCATCGCCTTTTTAGGGGTGACGGGGTTGTAGTTGTTTTGGAAGATGATCCACTAGACAAAGTCGCTCTATTTGGTTCACGTGATGATGTTGGTGGCGTTTCTGCTGCTAACACCTTGTAACGCCGGTCTTCGTCGTACTCTACTCTACCCTTTCGTTAAAAGCTTCCCAATTTACAGCACCGCTCGGCTTGCTATCCGCTTCAGCACCGTTCTAGTACATTTCGTCGAGACTTGTGTTACGTTCTTCTTTCTCCTCTCATCCTTTTCTTCAGCGTCTTCTTCAGTCAGCACCACCACTTTCAACCATCATCATCTTTCAAAAACAAAACCGATAAGACCACACAGAAGACCAAGAGCGTTCTACTTGTAAGAAAAGACATGCGCCCTGCTTCCGAAGTGCGAGATCATCAACATCCTTATACTGCTAAACTCGCTGCTCCACTACTTCGCCAAGGTATGCAAGTGTAAGGACGATAATATTCCCACTAGTTTTGATCATGCGCATGCAGGTTCTCGGTCCACTTGGGACAAAAA